TATGCATAGATTGGTTTCACCCTCCTCAGTTTCAGACTCAGTGTCACTTGTGTTCAAAGCAAAAGAGAGCTTTGATGCATATGAAGTAGCCCACAATTTTAAGCTGAGCTGCTCTTAGCTCATGCAACCATGGATAGAACTGTCAATCTTAGGAGTGGAAGAGGCAGAATTCTGCACCAAAACCAGCAACATAGATAGTGAGATTATATGTTGCTACGAGTTGTAGTTTCTGCTATACTGTGAAAGATCAATTCAGCATCATCCATGTCATTGATGGTGATGCAGTCTAATGGACTTCGAAATGTAATTGTCCAGTACCTAACTGAAGGGTCTGGTCATCCAATGACAAGTGCATGAGCACTCTACCATCATAATTCAATCATGCAAATCCATGTGACCTATCCACTCAAAAGTCACATGAAATATTCATGCAAATTATCTTAGAGCATGTCTTAAAGGATCAAAATAATCGATCTAAGAATGGTCTTCATTTTTTCTTTTATTTTCAGCATCCCTCGTCTTCTTCCCATTTACTCTCCAAGTTTCTGACTGCATTTTGTTCAGCTCTCAGCTCCAGAATTAGCTTGTTATGTAGCAGATGCAAGCAAAACATCAACTTGGTGAGGTGAGGGCCATAGTTTTCCTGTTCTTTTAGACAACGAAACCTATTTCCAGTAGCTTGAAGCACAAGAAGTCGAGGGAAAGGTGGAAAGGAAGAAGCTTTGCTGATGTAACAACTCATCTGACTGTGAACAACATCACAATCTCCCCATACATGGAGGACCACAAGCTTTCCCAGTTCAAAAGGACCATGGGAACACCAGCTTGGAGACTTGGAAAGCTTGCAGAGGGGTAAAGGCAGAGGGGCTGTGTTGATGTAGCAGTTCAATGTATCCTTGTGGAGACCTTTTGACACTGTGGGGACTGAGTTGTGAACTGCGAGTAGTCACTGTTGTGAGGTAGCCCTTATGTTACGCTCTCCTGCACCCTTTTTGTAGTTCTTCGTAGGATCTTTTCCTTTTGTCAAATCTTTTAGTTCTTCTATCCTTTTCCACTATATAAAGCATCACAGTGACAGAGTTAATGATCACAATCCTGTTGGAGCTGGAATCCTCGGAAAGGCTTAAATTTATGGCCCTGGAAATTTTATTTGCTGATTAATTTTCTGTTCTTCAATTGTCTTCTTCTTGCTCTGGTATTTCTCTAGCCTGCACTTTCCTTTTTGCTAGCACATAGCAATGCCTGAAGCATTCTCGAACGGTACATGTAGGAAGAAAACAGAATGAGAGAGACAGCAAGCAAGGAAACAGAAGATGAGACAGATGAGAGTGCAAAGATTTTGAGAATCCATGGTGCAAGATCACATAATGTAGAGATGAAATGAAGCTTATAGATACAGATGAAAAAAGGCTGAGAAGGAAAAAGTTGAGAGACTTGGAAGTGAAAGGAACACGAGACACTTTCCATACCAAAAGGCTTCAAATGTGAAGTGAAACAAGAGAGAAAAAACACAGGTCTACTGCTATTAGGGTTGAAAGGACCACAGTCCAAAAGAGACATTGCATGGTAATAATGCACACAAACAGCAGCTACTGCTATTAGGGTTGAAAGGAACACAGTCCAAAAGAGACATTCCATGGTAATATATAATGATTTTAGTACAGAAACATCCATTGATACTGACTGTATGATGAGTTTGGAAATTTCTTTTCCATTTAACTTCAGATCTCAGCTTAAAATAGAGAACACAAAAAAATCACTTGCAAAAATAATGAGAACTAATTGTTGGGGGAATTCTTCCATTGTGATGGCTCTCCTCCTAACTGCTATTAGTCAGGCAAAGAAGGCACACACTAACACTGTTGCAGACGCACAGCACTGCCCCCGCAGTTCACCGTCACCTTTGCATGAGAAGTACAGACAACACTTTGAGCATGTCCTCTGTAAGTTCTTGATGGCATCCGAATGTGAATCCATTTTCTGAAAAGGGGTGATGGGACTGTGGAACCATGGACCACTTGGTCCCAAATGCTCCCCATGGCCTCCGATGGCTCTAAAACCCAGGACTGAGCCATTTGTTTCCCTGCTTCCAGTGGTGCTGGAAGTAGATCCTGAGCACTTGCATCCATGAGCATGTGGGCATGATTCTTGTTTTGGCCTTACTGCTGCAACAGAAGAGGGTAAAGAACCACATTTCAAGAGAAGGTTTACAAGTGTGGTCTCATTTCCACACCAATCATTAGGTGAGAACTTTGAGCTATGCCTTGGGCTGCAAACTGCCAGCCAGCCAGTATTGGCTTTGGATCAAGCATGTGAGTGACACTAGTACATTCCATGGCTAAATCCAATAGGAGCTGGTAGCATTATACTGGTTCCTACATGGTCTAACAGTGCAGATCTTGTTGGTGTTTGTCAAGATATCACCCAGTTTAATGCCTTCTGTTGTCATGTGAGATGGTTCCAATACCTTGTGTGCCTGTGATTTACCCCATCTTCATCGATTCTTTCTTCTAGATTACACCAGTCAAACAGCAGATTAAGGTAGATGTAGACAGTGTTAAGACTCAAATAGAGTCGATCACAATGTCCTCATGGATAGCCAAAATGTCTGGTTGATGCTCTCCATTTAGGATTAGTTGGCACACAGCTTGTCCTGTTCTTATCTAGGGAGTTAGGCCATCATGCTATCAAGCATTGAAAAAGAAGCTGCTTTAGCATGCATTGAACCAATCTGAAAGGCACAACAAGCATGGTAGAAGCTACCTTATCTTCTACCTCTGTCCATATGAATTTGGATGATGCATGAAATCAAAGCATTTCTCCTTCTGAAATGGCTTTTTCTGCTTCATTCCACCAGACTTTTCTTTGGATAAAATCATTCCCACAATTGAATTAAATTTCTGATTGATGTTTGCCTGCATGATCACAGGTCTCTTTCATTTCTGTTCTTGGCTCAGTGTAGAGAGTGCTCTTTTCAGAAAAAAAAATCTGATCCCAAAGCTTTAAAGTAAATCTTTTACTTTCACTCCACAGCAAAAGTAACTTTATATTGCACTCATCTTAATAGGACTGGTAAGCTGGTGCCATTTCTTGTGTACCATCCATGACAGTAAAAGACAGATTTTGTTTCCCAAAAGATAGAACAAGCTGCAGTTTTTTTTTTTTTTTGCCTTTGTTGATTGGTTTCATAAATATACACAAAAAAAACATGAGAATTACCTCTGTCTATTCTATCTTTCCTGGTTTTGTTTCATTGCCACATCACAAGTGAAATTTCCGCACAAAGACATCTATATTCAGAATAATTCTACAACATAATAAATATAATCGTATAACTCCATTTTTCTCTCATTTGATCTACATGATCTTAATGAGTATCAATATGCAATGAAAAGACAGTAGTAAGATATCAATTTGTATTGGAAGTCCACTCGAGCCTAAACAATGCTTTAGCAAAAGATAGAGAGATAATTTATGCTTGATATTGATGGCCACTGTCTCACTGAGTAGACCAGACTAATACTTTGCTCTGCAGATGCCGATGATCAGTGTCGCAATCACACAATGACCAACAAGTGAATCTTCTATCGAACAGTTCTCCATCAATTTATGAATGCAAAGGCTCATCTTGATGATTGTCAAGTGCTTTTCACCTTTGCCTGTGTGTGTTCAGCGTCACCTCTCTCTCTCTCTCTCTCTCTACATCGGCTGCAAGCAACCATTGACAGCGGCTTCTTCCACAGTCAATTGCTCACATATGGAGTCACAGTATGAGGCCATCGCTTTTGGGGAATCGATCACCACTGAAGCTGTACCACCAGACTTATCTTTCGATCTCGGACAAAGTAAACAACAAGATCCAACCAGCTTGCAGCTGAGCGGATACATTGTCGGAGAGTTGGGGAGATATGCTTTTCAGTGTCTCTCACTGCTCTCATCTGTGGTTTCTGCTATGAACTACTGCGAGACCATCTTCACCATGCTTTATGAGAGCCACTTGTGACCTACTTTTCCAAGATTCTCACCTTGTTTTCCTTTCTTCCCTTCCACCTTTCCGTAGAATGATGGTGAGAAACCATGGCAATCAGCTGCAGCCAGCCATGATTGGAGCTTAACTTTGGTTATGTCGAAGGCCACATGTGATGGTCCAAATCTCATCTTACCACTGACTCAGAAGGCTTTGCGACACATGGGAGATGGGTGGCGTGCCTTCACCACCACATGATAGTAATGATAGTAAAAGGCTGTGGAGAGGGAGGGGAAGGGTAGGATGATGCATGCAGTGGTGACTGAGAAGCCCTCCTTAGCCTCACATGTCACCATAGCTTTCTGAAAGTGACTCGGCAAAGAGGATATCTACACTTGCTTCTGTGGGAGGATCTCTCCATGATGGAGAAGATTTGTGAGGACTTGTAGTAGAGTTTTTGTTGGAATAATTCTCTTGGGAGGAATCAAGATTGGTCATAGGAGGAGCCACTTATTCTCCTCCTGACTTTTGTGTGAGCACCACTTCCTTTCCCTTTCTCATTCTTGTGCTGACCATTGGGGACTATGATGATGATGCAGTCCTGTGTCATATGTTGTATGGATGATTGATGACAGCTTTGTATTACTCATTATTTGTTCTACCATTTTCCCTAATTGTTTAGAGAATATTTATACCAAGATTGAAAATGTTTGATTATATATATATATATAGAGTTTGATTCATATTTAATAAAGTTAAGATTTTAGATTGATTTGATGTTTAGTCAATTTGATTTATAAATTTGGAAAATGATCCCAAGAAAAATCTTCTTGCCAAACTTGTCACTGAGAATCTTTGGGTGACGGAGGGTTCTTCATTTATCCAAGCACCAGAACAGTGGTTTGACTTTGGCATGGTGTAAATATTTCCTCAAATGCCACAAATAAGCCAACCGCAGTTAAGGCTTTGACCATTTGCAGCATCCAATGGTGAGTGTTCCCGTGAGAAGAACTCGCATGTCGTTGCCATGAATGCCTCTGTTGACACCCCCCCCAAAGAATCGTCCAACGCTATGTGGTTGCCTCTGTTTTGTTTAGCATGTAGATGTAGCATGTAAGCAGTAGTCCTACTTCCCCCACCCAGTCCCTCACCCCTCCACCACCGTCACCACCACCACGCCCTCGCCACCTTTTTGCTTCGAGTCCTCTCCTTCGTATGTATAAAGAGAGAGAGAGAGGGGGGCGGGCGGAGCGGTAGCAGGATTTGTGATTGCTTTGTTTGGGGGTCTGAAGAGCGTCGCACCGCCGAAAGCGACGCCAGCTCGCTTAATAGCTGCTTGGAGGTGGCCGCAGAGCCAGCTCGCCTTTCGGAAGTTCCAAGTAATAAGCAGAGCCACGGATACTGGATGATATCAACACCAGTAAAGGAGCCAAAAGGAAGCGAAGGAGAAGAGATACGCATATATATAAGTACGAGCGACAGTAAAGAGAGCCGAAAGGAAAGCAAAGGCGAAGAGGGGGAGGTAATAAAAAGGAGACGAAGAGAAAAGAAGCAGCGAGATACGCAGCTACCACTCATCATCATCATCATCGTCGTCGTCATCAGTAGACGACACCCATTTTTTACCTCCTCCTGATATACTCTCCTCCCTCTTCTTCTTCTTCTTTGCCTTCTTTCGTGAAGCCCACACCATCGAGGGAGCACAGCGGCAGCGGAGCGGTGATTCCAAGTAGGATTAATTCCTTCACCTTCCCCTGTTTTGAGAGAAGAAAGAGAGAGACTTTGGAGTGACAACTAGGCGGGAAGATCGAGAGGAGGTAGGAGGAGTAGTCCTATAGGTATTCAAGAGCGGGAGGCTCGGGGAGACTGGCAGAGCATATACGTCATAGGTTGAGAGAGAGAGAGAGAGAGAGAGCGCGAGCGAGAGAGGCGAGGAGAGGGAGAGAGTTGCTTCTGCTGGTGGTAAAGATGAAGTTTATGAAGCTGGGTTCCAAGCCGGATGCTTTCCAGTCGGACGGCGGCAACATCAGGTTTGGCCTTTCCCTTTCTTCGTGATCGAGGGTCTGCTCAAAATCGCTTCTTTTTTCGGATTTTTACGATCTTTTTTTCTTTTCGTTGTCGTGGTCTTTCTTTTGTCGGTTTGGATCAGCTAAGGAGTTGCTTTTTAGACGTAGTTGTGTGTTCGTCTTCCATATCGTTCACCTACGGCGATGGCTTTTTCGGATTCAGTGGATCTGAATCACTGCCGAGTAGTTCTGGATGAGAAGCTGGGGTGACTTTGCAATCGCAGCACCTCGAAACATCCTATAGACGTCAGGCGATCGGCAGTCAGCAAAGAAGAACACGAGAAAGTAGAGCGCAAACTGGGAGGTGCCCTGAGAGATCTTTAGTCGTATCTAGTTCCCTCTTGTTCCTCATTCTCTCTCTTTTTAGGCAGATTGTACAATATAGTTCGTGTAGGGGCTAATTATTTCTCCACCAAAGAGGATGAAGGTGGTGAAGAGGAGAAACTCTTCCACCAAAGATCAAAGCTTTTGGGAAATGCAGGTCTGCTCTTGTTTCTGCTGCCTAAATTGCTTCAAGACTCAGCCGCTTGGTGCCATCTCACATTAACTGATATCCGTCCTGCTTATTGAATCTTGAAATAGATTTGTGGCCGTAAGCGGTGGTGTTCCGCTGTCACAGTTGACGGAGGGAATTGGAATGGAGAAGGATCGCGACAGCTTCATCAAGAACAACAAATCCACGCTCGGTCAGAGGCGACAGGCAGTGCTCCGACCCGGCACTGCCCATACCCCATGACGACGATGCAGGAACACATACCCTCCACATTTTGCTTCAACTCCCACGTGATGGATGGACCGGGGCGATCTGAAAGAGAGGCTGATGTGATGGTGATCGCACTACTAATAGAGGTGGAGGAGAACCATGCGAAACAGGTCTCCAAGTCCCATTCAGAATGGGGCTCCTTGTCGGCGTTGGACCACATCCCACTTGGTTTGCTGGTCCAGCATTTTGGTGTAGGAAATGTTTCACTAACAGCAATTGCTGTTCTTTCTTCCACCCTCCTTTCATTTCTACCAATAATGATATCTGTGTGCTCTTCGATTTCGGTAAGAAAGATCAGCTGGTCGATGACTAAGCTGTACCGGGGAGCAGCTGTGTTTGCTTTGATTGGCTCCTTAAGTGCGATTACATGAGCCTTTGCTCATAGATCTTACTCCATAAAACAGTAACATCATCAAGTTGTCAGCCTTTGCGGGACTAACAATAGTGAGAACTAGTAAAGTGAGTCTTCTTTCGTGATATGTTGGTGTATTGATCTTAGCTTGTGGTCGTCTCTCCTTCATACCAATAATCTAGCATGGAGTTTCGGTAATCGATGGTATAAGGTCAAATTGAATCTATGTGTAGTCTAGAGCAAGCCAGACAAGGATCCTCCTGTCTTTGGCTCATCAAGTGTATTGGAATAGTAAGTTATATATATATAGTCTATTAGGAAACTTCAATTTGACTTTGTATTGATGTTTCTTGGGTTGTCGAGTGGAGGTCCGATGAAATATATCTTTGCGTTAATCGTCTTAACGACTCTGTTAAGTTACATTTGCCCACTTTCTTATTTATCATTTTAGATGATTCTTGCGTGCTTTTTAGGTTCCACTCCAGACTTTAATTGGAGATGATATGAGGTGAGCTGATTAAGATTAGTGGACGAAGCTGCCCATATTTGACATTTTGTGTATGTCCAATGATTTTGTTAAATGTTTGAGGTTCCGCTTCTTTGATGCAGTGCAATTGAATCGAATTCTTGTTCATGTTTATGCATCCCAAAAGCGGAATATTATGGGCTTAAAGAGTTGCTGAAGCAGTTGGTCAATCGTTGAGAGGAGGACCGAGGAAAACAAACCTAACTTGCTTCGTAGACACCTCTACTTGAATTAAATGATTTCTATTAGAAAAACCTCACGGAAGTCTGTTGCTTTCACGGACCTACTATCACTTCCAATTCACTTGATTTGATCGCAACAATTATATTTCTTTTTTGACACGATATTTGTATAAAATTTTAGATTGATGATTGATTCATGCAGGTTTGTGGTGTCTGAGCTACCAACAGATGTAATTGTACGTGTTGGCGAAGTGAGATTTTTCTTGCACAAGGTCAATTCTTGTCCTTATATCAATTAAATTAAATTAATAATTCTTTTTTAGTAATTGTGTTGTTCAAAATATGCATTAAGCATTTCTTATGGTTCTTGTCCATGAAAGAACAATCTTATATTGCTATATTTACTGCTCTTCTATCGGCACATCAAGCGATCTAGCTCCTTTTTAGTATATTTGATTCTTCCCTGTCAAGCAATCTAGAAACCTGTCACGTAATTAACATTAAGTCTTGTCCCACAGGTATTTTTCACCAGCTTAGGTGACTTCCTGTATTTTAATTTATTATATAAGTAAGACTACAATCCTTCATGAAGAAGAAAAATGAAAGGAGGAGAATGGGTGTATCAGCATGAACTATTTTTATAACATGCTAAACAATATATATTTGCTTTTATCCTAATTTTAGTACTTTCATGCCTTCTACATAGTTATTGTCGATTGTTGTAGATGTTTTAATCTTTTTTCTTTACACATGCCGAAGCAACTTATGCCGTATCTGGTGATCGAGTTACTCATCTGTTCTGAAAATTTTGGACTGCAATTTCTGAATGCAGTTTCCTCTTTTATCCAAGAGCAACCGATTACAAGGGTTGGTACTCAAGGCTGGTGAAGGCGGCACAGATGAAATCTACTTGCATGATTTTCCTGGTGGACCAAAAACCTTTGAGATTTGTTCTAAATTTTGCTATGGCATGACCGTGACGCTCAATGCCTACAATGTTGTCGCGTCTAGGTGTGCCGCAGAATACCTCGAGATGACTGAGGATGTTGAGAAGGGGAATCTGATATACAAAATTGAGGTTTTTCTGAACTCAAGCGTGTTACGAAGTTGGAAAGATTCTATTATTGTTCTACAGACCACAAAGTCTATGCTACCGTGGTCCGAGGAACTTAAGGTGGTTGGAAGATGCATAGACTGCATCACTTCCAAAACATCTGTAGAACCGGCTGCTGTCACTTGGTCATATACCTATGACAGGAAATTGACAGCCTCAGATGATATAACTGAAACCCAAAAAAGAATGCATCAAGTTCCTAATGATTGGTGGATCGAAGATATATGTGAGCTGGATGTTGATCTTTACAAGCGAGTGATGGTCGCCCTGAAATCAAAAGGGAGGATGTCTTCAGACATGATCGGAGAGGCCCTCAAGGCCTATACGGTTAGATGGTTGCCAGATTCTTATGATGCACTGGTTGCTGATGATTACATGAAAAGGAACAGGATTCTGGTAGAAACCATTATCTATCTACTGCCTTCGGATAAGTACTCAGGGTGTTCATGCAGGTTTCTCCTGAAATTGTTGAAAGTTGTTATCTTGGTCGGAGCTAGAGATCCATCAAAGGAAGAACTTATAGATCGGATTAGTATGCAGCTGCACAAAGCATCTGTTAAGGACCTACTGATTCCAGCAAAATCAAGTGGTGATACAATATATGATGTACATCTGGTGCAAATCCTTGTTGGCAAATTCATGATGCAAGTTGGTAGCACTCATGACATGAACATTGCTGATGAGAGTGAAAACATATCTTTGCTGGCTTTAGGAAGATTGATCGATGGTTATCTTGCTGAAATTGCCTGCGATTCAAACTTGTCGATTTCTAGCTTTGTCGATCTTGCTGAGTCCATTCCCGATGCAGCAAGACCTGATCATGATGGATTATACACAGCCATCGACATCTATTTAACGGTACACTTATGAGAGCCTTCTAACTATATGTTAAGAGCTTTTGCCTACTTGAATTCATGACTCGTTTAAGTACACTCGAGTTCCTGACAGGAGCTTTGCACATAAAACTTGTCATTATTATTGGATTCTTCTAAAAAGCATTTACCTGTATGTTACCTGTTCCGGTATTTGCACCGTATCACATTGTAACGACAATGAACTTTTAGAATCTTTTTCCTCTCACAGTGATTCATGTTGAATTTTGCATTTATATTCCCACCACTTTGTTCCTGAAATGATTATCGGGTAAAATTTGATTCTATCAGCTTCAATTGTTAATAACTCTTGTAGAATTACAGCATTTCTTTCTTTCTTTCTTCCGACTATATCTACTTATCATCTGCTTTTGCTACCAACGATTAAGTACTGATCTTGTGAACATATCAGGAACATCGAAACATGACAAAAGCAGACAAAAAGAGGATCTGTGGCCTGATGGATGTCAAGAAGCTCTCAACAGAAGCTAGCATTCATGCAGCACAGAACGAGCGTCTGCCACTCCGTGTGGTCGTCCAAGTCCTTTTCTTCGAGCAGTTAAAGGCGGCAGGGGGTGCATCAGCAGCGACCAATGACACTTCACATGACAGTTCGATGAATCGAGCCATCTTGGAAGAAGATTGGGAGGGGAGAGTCTCAGAGAATGACGACAGTCTAAAGCAGCAACTAGGGAGCTCGAAGATAAAGGCTGATGAGTGCCAGGACGGTGACGACAAGAAGAGTGTCAAGGACAAAGGTAGTAGCTTACTACTCCTGCCATCTAGATCAAGGAGGATTTTTGACAAGCTGTGGGTTGGGAAGGGACAGGGTGAGACAATTAAAAGCTCTGAAACATCTGGGAGTTCACAAAGCCCTCCTATCTCTGTGAAACCTGGAGAAGCCAAATCTTCTGGCTCTTCAAGGCACATGAGAAACTCTATTTCATGAGAAAGATTCTCATGTAGAATGTCTCATGGGCACACTGTATAGAAGAAGGTGTTTCAGCTGCCGATCTTAATACATGTTTTCTGCTGGTGTTCAAACTGTTCTCTTCCTCACAATTAAGGGAGGTCAGAAAGCAGATACAAATCTGCTCTATATCATCATCATCATCATCATCATCATCATCATCTTTTGATTTAATTTATCTGACATCTGATCTTTAAAGTCCTGACAAGGATGATTGTATATGTGAAATAACTGCATGCGATTGAAGGATCATAAGATCAGATTGCTTCCACTTGTTGCCAGTTGATGATAATCAGTGAAATATCCTTAGATTTTACATAAGATCAATTACTTTGCTGAGAATTTATGATGTACAGAGTAGATTCTCAGGTAGATCAAATACTTGGCATTGTTGGATCCTACAACACCTGAATTCATTTCTTTAGATGGTATTATTCCTTTTATATATAATCATTTGAAAATTTAAGGTGGTATTATTCTCCTTTTAATGCTTAAAACATTGACTATTTGGGTATCTATAATTTTTTTTATGTAAGGTTAAATATTTATGATGATTAGAGTTTCAATTTAGTGTTCTGACAGATTGATGATTAGCTGCAGAGATTACTTTTAGGGGCTCATATGTAAATTTGATTTAGCGGGGATGTGTGTGTACATATATACATACATATGATGTAAAGGACCATTGAGAGAAATTACTGTCTGTGGAGGGATGTCTATGTAATTTACGTTGCTATTTATATGCGACCCTCGCCGGTGGAATTGGGCGAAAGCAAGGGTTCCATTTCTTGGACACTTACGTGTGAGCGAAACCCTCGATTCCGCTGCAAGAATGGTGGCGACGAACCTGAAGGCCGAGACGATCTCGCTCATGGACATGAGGGCGTCCATGGAGACGGAGATGAACGCCATCATCGAGTCCCTCTGCGGCCCCGGCGGTCCCGGGATCTCCGGCAACCTCGTTGATTCCGAGGTGAAGACGCCTCTCTCTCTCTCTCTCTCCAAACCCTGGGTTAAATTCCCTGTCCAAGTTCCTGATCGTGGTCTTAGTTACGCGTTCTAATCGATCGGTTCTTGGAATCTTTAAAGACACACACACACACTCTCTCTCTCTCTCTCTCTCCAAATCCTGAGCCCAAATCCTTGTCCAAGATCCTGATCGTGGTCTTGTTGTGCGTTCCTAATCGATCGGTTCTTGGAATCTTTGAAGAAAACCCTTGTTTCTTTCTGAACTTGATGTCTCTATTCGTTTCATGTTGGTGTAGGGATTTCCTAGGGTGGACATCGACATCCCGGCTGTTCGATCGCAACGTCGTCGGCTCTCTGGTACACTGATGATGTTCTTCTTCTTCTTCTGTTTTTCTTTTGCAGGATGATAATAGTAGTGAAGATCGATCTTGGATTCAATAAATCGAAACGTCTGGGTTGTGATTTATATAGGTTATGGGCTGTTAATTAGAAGCATGGTGTCTTGATTCTTGGAAGAAACAAGATCTGCAATAACGGTTTTAGGATGAACAAAGAAAAAGGAGGAAATGGGCTTTTCGTTAGACAAATGTTTTTATATTTCTATGGCATGCTTACCAAATAATGGATAGTGTAGTTGATTATATTGATTCAGTTTGTTAGTATTACATTTCTGCTCTTCAGAAACCGAACCCAAGTCTTGTGGGATTTTACTGAATTAGAGTGTCTGATGGAGTTAGCTAGTGGACTAAGATTCAATTATTTGTTTTAGTTGCAGTTAGATATGAATTCAGACCTCTTGTGTGTTGCCAGTATTAGTTTGGACTTTGCTAGAGTCAGTTGAATTTATAGTTGACTTGTTTAGACCTATAATACCTGTCTTATCTATGTAATATCAATTTCTTTGTGAGTTCTGTTTATTGCTTTGTGATCGATTGCATCTGGCACCATAATAATTTTTGTTTGGGTAAAAAATGTCAGTTAGCTCTCCAGAGATGTAACAGATAGTATGGAAAACCAGATCTTACTAATATTTGTTTTCTATTCTCTCTTTTTTTTTTTTCCATTTTTGGATGTTGAACTCTTGCGCTAATTTTTGATGTCGTTGGATTTTTCTGAACCATTTCTTTTCATGTGCCAGAGGTAATAAATTAAAATATATTTCTAACTCTGTTGGCCAGTGCATGGCTTTATTCTCTTTGTACACATGATAAGGCTCTATTAGTTGTAAGATTTTCTCAACTTTATACTAAGTTTTCCTTCTTGCCCACATTAATTCAATTCTTTTATCACTGGTTCAACTGGTTCACATAGTTTTTTATTTTGTGAAGAAAGTAGTCATAGTTGACTGAAATGAATGTTGGCTCAACATTTGGCCTACTCTTACCTAAAAAACTCCTGTTGTTTCAAAAACTTGTTGCAATTCTATGGTGCATATGATCTGGTCATTTCATGATTCTTTTGAATGTAACTATTGACTTTTGTCAGTTCTCTTGTTTCTGTGACTGTAAATCCTTTATGTTACTGCTTGGGACTAAGAATCATATTTTGTTGTGCACAAAGTCGTAATCATGTTCATGACGTTTGAACTGCAAAAGTGAAGTACTTTTTCTCATTCTCTATACACATGATTTATCTTGTCATTCTTAACGCTTGCTGTCTCCAAGCTGAATACCAGGATTTTGAGCCTTATGTCTTATCTACTAGCCAAAGAGTGCAATAAGTTTCGGAAGTTTGCATATCCATGTTAAAAGGAGGGCAAATATAGTCACAAATAGGTCATTAGTTTAAGTACATGCTATTTTTGTGTCTATTTGGTTTATATATAATTGAGGATTTCTGTTTACTGATATCATAATTCTTTTGGTAGTATTATTCTATTTGGTTTACATATAATTGAGGATTGCTGTTAGCTGATATCATAGTTCTTTTGGTATTATTATTATTCGTACCTGGCTACTTTTCTATTGGTCCATTTACCTGGCAGGACAGAATTTGACTACAGAGGTAAGTAATAGTTAAAAACAAATCTTATATCTATTCTGGAAGATGCTAGCATGGAACTGATTACATTCATGAGTCCTTGAAGTCAGTTCACGTTCAAAACCTTTTTGTACCATGTTTCCAGTCATCTCTTGAACTGTGGGGAAAACTAAATTGTAATTTTATTCATTGTAAAGTTTACCACTTGTATTTTAGTGATTTCTTTTGCATTTGTTTTTTACATGTCATCTCCAACATGTTAATATTGATTATATCTAGCACTTGATGTTGAAATTTAATTAATCCGAAAATGAAGAAAAAGAAAAGCTGTTGCTTATTGGCTAAGTACATCATCATTTTCCTCATTTGATGCTTCACAAGGAAGTATGACTATGATAAACTTACCTGCTTAAGAGGCCTAACATGATTCTTCCTTGGCTATTGCTTTCTATTCTTCCAACATATGAAGAGGAGATGTGAAATCATGTTTTTTCTTTGGCAGAGCTGCGGAATGATCACAAGGTCATCACAGAAAAAATTGACAAGAATCTGCAGGTTTTGCATTCATTGAGGTTGGATAAAGTTACTCCATTGCCGTTGGACGGTTCAGGTATGGCGATGAAAGAAAAAACTGATGTTTGCTTAGGCATGTTTTTAAGATTCAGAAGAACAAACAGGTTTGCATGCTTCATATTGGACATCATGTAGTTGATAATGGTCATTCATTTGGAACACGATTGAACAAAATTTCACATAATACTACATACTCTTAGCATTTGTTGCATGCATCAAGGTTGTCAAAATCATTGTCTGGACTGTAGGATTGCACAATTCTATGGTTAAAATTAATCTAAACAAATTAATTTGTTTAGTGGATTGGGTTTTACTGAGATTAAAATCAACTCAAGTGACTTGGTATACGAACCAAACAAAAAAAACTTACTCTCTGTTTCCGAAAGCGCATTTGCCCTTAACTATAAGCACCATCTTCTTTTCCTGGATAGTTGCCACCATCTTTTTCCCCTACCCTTTCACTGCCATCTTCTCTTCCTCCAAGCCAATTTCGCCACCCATCTGTCTCCTGTTACTGCTGCTTCTTTCACTGTCTTTGTTGAGTTCTTACAAGTCGGTCATCACCATCTAGCTGCCTTCCACAGACTAAAAGTCTGTCACCTGTTCGGTATGCTTTTGCCACTCTTATCATATACTTTCTCCTGTCCACTTTCTCTATGACTACCATCACCTTTTACAATTCCTCCTCTGTCCTGTCATTATCTGTTTTCCCTCTCTCTCTCCATGGCCAACATACAAGTGACATCCCAAACTGTTACTGTCATTCCCTCTTTTCAAGATTTTTTTTTCTTGTTGAGAGCAACTCAGATATGATCTAAATGTGGCTCATTCTTATGCAAACCTCTTGTTAAAGGTTTGATACGGGACTGTATTTGGATGGGATTGTATTTGGATATACTCTAAAAGCAAACTCTTAATAATGTCCCACTTTCAATATGATTAGTTGATTTATTCAATAATTTCATATGTTAACAATATGGTAGATGATTTACAGCTTCCATCCATGATCACATCTTTGGCTAACTGTGAACAAAATTAGCAATTTAGATAGAAGTGGAAGATCATCGAAACATGGATAATATGTTAAAAGACTATATTTGGATGGGACTGCAATTTCCAAATAGTCCAACTGGAAGTATGTCTCAGATTGGTTCAAGCATGAATGTCTCTGTTTTTTTGAGTTGCATGCTTCCTTTTTCTGCCAGTGTGTAACAAGGTACGGTTTGCTTGCTATAGAATTATTTGAATTAACTAGTCAGTAGTCATCAACTGTCATGAATAAAGACTGTACTAACATCCCACAACATGAACTGACTGATATCTGCTTTAATCATTCCATAGGTTAACAATCATATATGTAGAGTGACAAAATATAGATTCTTTATGATGTTAGAGATAATTGTGTTAATTACTTTTCAATGTTGATAAAAGACATTCAATATGCTAGTAATCCACAAGTTCAATAAGCACAAAATCTGGCGATCATAAGTACGATCTAGGTACATCAATAAAAGGATCATAAGATCTCGAGGAACTACAATAAAAGGATCATAAGATCATTCTCGAGTTGAGTTGCTTGGGTAGCTGCGAGGAGACCAATCAATGAAAATTGAACACCAACAAAAATATTATTATTGATTCAAATAAGAGATAGTATTGTTTAATTGTGTATTTGCTTCAACAAAAATATAATTATTAGCTAAAGAACATATGAGAGTTACTGAACTTCAATAATTTTATTTAATTTTTATAAGAATGATATGAATTATAACCCTCGTTTGATACTAGTTAGGAAAGCAAGTTTGACAATCTTGGCAAGCATAGTCAATACATAATAATGCCACGTTAGGTTGACCTCGTTTTGGTATTTAATCCTTGTATGCAACCTTTGCATAACTTGTTGATCACGCATTGGCTATTATGAACATTGAAAACTTGTGCTGGAAATAGAAACTCAAGTTTAGGCTCATAAGTTATTATGCTAACGTTTTAGTTTTGGCGTTGTGTCAGAGCAATAAACTCAGTTACTGGCAAAACAAGTGACTATAAGAAAAATCAAGACCGAATCTTCTGACCAGGAGTATTATTGGCTTTATTGCAGATATATCAGCTTCTGTTTCTGAAACTATATCTCAAGATTCACCTATGAGAGAGGAACCTATAACGAGGATACCCTTTGCTATTATTGATGAAATTGCTGATGACTCACCAGCTGCAGAAGACGGACTGCAACTCAGCGACGAGATTGTAAAGTTTGGGAATGTGGAGATGGGTGATAACTTGCAATCAAGACTCATGGCAGAAGCACAGTCCAACCAGGGCAATCCAGTTCCTTTGGTAATAGTCAGGCAGGGTTCAGTGATGAATCTAACTGTGACACCCAGACCATGGCATGGTCGTGGAATTTTGGGGTATTTCTTTTCCTCTATTTTTCCAACTTTACACGTGAAATGTTTTGAATTATGTTCTTATCATCTAATTGATATTTGTACAAGATTATTTTTTTCAAAGTTTGTTAATCTTCATATTGCATGAGCCATAAGTTATTTATGCTCCAGGAAATCAACACATATCTAATGTAGCATTCTTTAATATCTTTTGCATCACCATCTCATCACCATCAATCAATCCTTACAAAATTCTTATAATTTGTTAATTAACATATTGCATAAGTCAAGCTATTCACGTTCCAGGAAATTTACTTAAGCTGAAAAAGGTAAATGATGTATGGATGCTGAATTAAAGATTCAGTTGGCTCATTGACTTGTTTCTTTATTCAGTCTTTTATGATCAAAGTCTCTAGATGCCGTTGTTTGATGTTTCATTTGTTTGCATATATATTCATTTCAAGCACTGAAGTACTTTGACAGCAGACTGTTTAGAACTCTGGTTTTGATAGTGTAAGTTGGATTCATTGTAGAATCAAGCATCAAGGAATGGCCAGTAGTTTGCTAACAACCATTTAATAACTAGGCGGCCATCTGTGATGCATTTTGTTATTTATTTTAAAATTCTAGTAATTGTGATACGAAGTTCTGAAATTATGGATCTGCATATTAGTTAGTTCCTGCAACACAATTTTTATGTTCTCTTCTATTTGTGCTAGGGAGGTATAGTTTGTTTGTACTATGCTCCTTGCAGTTGACACATATCTCACCGGGCTGGAAATCATTGTGTTGATGGATGAATATACGCTTTCATGATAAATGATAACTGATTACATTGTGAAAATTTCTTTTGGTTGATTTATATTTTTTATCGCCATATGTTGAAGGACCATTTCTTTTTGTCAATTTCAATAGTTATATGTTATCCAAGTGTTAGGCGTACATGCAATTTGAATCATCGATTTGAGAGTTGACTAACATAATCATGCCATGCCCCAAAAAAATAAGAAAAGGTGATTTATTGGATGGGAATCTAAATATTATCTTTATATTAATAGGAAAAATTATTCATGCTCTTACATCAATGTCTTGTTGTTCCTTTTTTTTTTGAAATTGTATTGATTGAGGTGTTCTGCAGGTGCCATTTTCGTATCCTATGATTTGTATTCTTATGATGATGAGGAGCTGGTACAATTGGTGCGAAACACTCGGTGAAAAGTTAGTTTTTGCTCAGTTCCTCGAGAGTTTCTGGACTGTTGTAGTATTTCTTGGAGATATGATTCATACGTAGTCTTGAATGCACAACTTGTTGAAATTTCTGACCAAAAGATTGGTACTGTATAGCGTGTGGCCTGGTGGTGGTTTGAACTTTGTTGTAACACACCGTTAGTGGCTCCAGCAATCGTTCTCGTAATAAGCGTTTTTGTGGTGCTCGCTTTTTATGGCGCGCCTTTCAAAGTGAAATTTACGAGTTATGCTTTGTTTTCAGATGTTCTGCACAAAGTTTCGTTTGGGATTTTCGCTTGCTCTCCAAAGTAGGCTGCTCTTTTTGTGGTTACATGAATTTGTACAAAGCGTTCTTGGATAAAAACGTTTTTTTAAAAGCATTCTTGGATAAAAAGATGATTTTGCAGCTCCTCTTGCACGGGCTCATGATCATGACAGCCCCCTCCGCTGCAACCCCCATCAACGGGCCGAGCTCGGCAAGGCAGGGGTGACCACAAAATAATTTGAAACAGATCAGTCTCGAACCCATTACATGTTTTTTTCTCGAATTTATTGGTCCACTTGAAACAGATGACAGACCGAAAGCGAAAGCTTGAACACGCCACGAGTAAAGATTATTTTCATACAAAAAAAAAAAGCACCAATACGCCAAAGGTAGCGCAAAATGGGAGGCATTTTACGTCCATACTGTCAAATATACACAGATTGCATGCATCATGAAACCATCAAAATATACAAACTTAAAAAGGCACAAACAACATGAAGCATCTTGTTATTTTTGCACCAATGAAAAAACTATTGTGATGGCAACAAACTTGGATCCTTTAAGGTCAGTCAATTCAGAATTGAAGTTCTATAACGTGGTACATGAGTAACAACCAATAGAGACTGTTAGAAAGCATGAAGAAAAAAGACCTGGTATTCCTTTTTTTTAAGTCCTGGTATTTTTGTAGGAAGAATCACTATATTCACTAGTGACTGACGACTGAAAACAATTATAAGAAAAAAAAAAAGGGGGGAATCAGTGTTAGGGTCATATAACTAGCAGAGTCTATGATGGAGTAACATAAGAGCAAAGATGGGTCACATCTTCTTTTCCGGCCATTGGTTGCATTTGTAAATGTCTGTGTCTAACAGCTTCGAGTCGTAACTAGAATTTTGGTTACTAGAGAGTCATAACCGGAAAGCTAGAGGAATCTGCTTCCCTACATTTTGAACCAAGCCCATAAATTTTCCAAGCTTTGTTTGCATGACGTTTTCTGCTCTGCTAGTGTCAATTAAAGTTCTATCCTCTTCTATTTCCCACGTATCTCCATTTGTACTGTAGGGATACTACAAGGCCCATCATTGCTCCTCTCCCTCCCCTCCATTTGGAAGATAATAAATAATCTTCTATGGGATGGATATATTGCAATCATTTGGAAGATAATAATAATAGAGATTGATGAAACCATTATTAGTACATGGAGCAATGAATTAAAAGAAGGAACTTGATAAATCAAATACCATGATTCAAGTTCCTATAGGTTGGTTTATGCCCCTGGTCATGGGTGTGTAGTAAAAGAATAAAAGATCAACCTAATAATATAAGAAATTGAACAAAGAAAATTGCCATTTGATGGCCAAAAAAATAGCACAAATTCATGAACATTTAAAAGATACCGATTTAAGGCCACATCATTTACTTGTACTATTGAGTTTCATCTCTCGTTTTCTCTAAAAATTTTAAACTGCTCGAGGCCCATTCCATCCATCCATCCAAAAGGGTATGTATGGGTGGCATTAAAATCTTTTCCAATTAAGCACCATCCAAGAACTGAATAAACCCCACAACCAAGAGAGCATTGTGACTTGCCAAATTCTTCTTTGCTCATGCATTGTATTCGTTAACAGAGTTTCTGATTATTTTAACTTTCAAATGTTTTCAGATCACAAAGTACAAGGCCATCTAGGCAAACATGTCATCAAAATTCTTACTACTTGTTAGCCTATAAATCTCACATAAAGAAATGAAACTTCTGATTACATAACTCTTTTAATTTATAAATAAGCTAGGCTTCGTCAAGAAAAACAATAATGACACATTACTGAAAATTATTTGATTCCATAGGCTAAAGAGGAATCAAGACAGAAGACTCACAACAACTAAAGTCGTTCAGAGTACACTTTTTAACTAGGATTAGTCAAGACTGGCATATTTAGTCAAAAAATGAATTAATTTAAAGACAGGAAGATATCTGTTCAGTCATATTGACTAAATTGGAACCATCAGTCAATCTGCTTAGGTCTCAGGAAAGTAAGCGACATCAGGACACACACATCATTTTTCTCCGCCATAGAATCAGTTAATTATTCTTAAGTCGAGGGAATAGTTGCTTACCCTCCTGAAACCGTACCAAGTTTATTAAGTAAGCATCTGAGAAATAGGATTGCATCTTCGAGATGGACAATAAATATAAAGCAAACTAAAGCACAGGTATATTATGAGGTACTACTAAATGGTTCTGAAAGTGATGGACACTAATTGCATCTTCCCTAATCATGAGACCATTATCAAATAGCTGCAAAGAAAAAAAGGACAGGGATGACATAAATCATTTGGGTCCAGGTGCCAGATTATGTATGGTAAAAGTTGCAATATTCTTACAAGAACAATCATGTTTTACATCCTGATCATAAGAAGCATCATGCTGTGTTCTACTGTTAAAGCACTTACCCATGACAAAAAATTTATTTAGAAGCACTGAAATTTACCTTAGCAATTTGTTGTCATAAATCCACCATGGTAAGTTCTATGATTCCGCTCCTCCTGCATTTTCTATGCTGAAAAAGTCTGGTTAAGCTAATAGTCAGATGAATTATCAGGGTTTAAAGAGAGAGAGAGAAAATAATCTGTGATAACTTTTAAACTCAAATTCATATGATTTAACTTATGTCTAGGATCCTCTTACAAAATTATGGACATCACAACAACTAAATTTTATATTGCTAGATAGTGTTTCATAGATTAAAAAGACATAAACCTAGTAATTCTTCTTCTGCAAGGTTATATGTTAGCAAATTACACAATGTTGTCAAACAGGACATTTTATTTCCCTACCATCACCACCTCCACTACCACTAGGAGAGCAAACACAAATTAACGAGACCTAATATCAATCTGCCTGTGATTCCTAATAATTCAGATGTCAAAAAGCTTTCGGGCTAAGATTAAGGGGGAAAGATGCTAACTTTATGAATTGCCACTCTTCCTCAAGTCCATTCCCCTAGCAAGGCCTGCTGCTAATCTAACATACATCGAGTCAGATATATCAAAGACTTGGGTGGAAAACACGACTGAGAAGAAAACCATTAGAAGCTCTCTCGTTACCTCATGTACTCAAAGACTTTTTCGACACCAAGTAGTTGTAACTGAAGCATCTGACGAGACTTAAGCAGATAGATCTCCTTCCTCAACTTTGATCTACCACAAACAAATGACATAGAACATCAACCACTAACCGAAGTCGACTTACCCTGGTCTCTTTATAAAGCACCCATACATACACTTGACTTCCAACAGATAAAGGAGGACAAACCCACTGGTCTCTTTGATGCGTGCGTGATGTGATAACACTTGACCACACGTATGCAAGAACATAAAGGATCAAAAAAGACAGGAGGGGCAGATCTAGCGACGAGCGAGAGAAATACCATTGGATCCACCGATAAATGAGAAGCTGATACACTTGAAATAATCAAGAAAAATGATATCAACAAGCAAAGTTTGAGAAAACTAAGTCGAGAAAGATCTATAAAATGGATGCGTTTTTGAGGGCTCCAAAGACCGGTCCATCATACGGCCGCAAAGATAGAATCAAGAAACAAGACAAAGAGGATAAATCTATCAGCGAAAGAGCTTTAAGAGAGCTCCAAAGATCGATCCCTCATCCGTCTTCAGATATAGAATACGAGAAACACGGCAGAAGAAACAATGACTTCATAAAAAGAAAGATCAAGAAGACGAACCAAGAAATGCCTCCCAAGATCAACATCCCAATGGTTGTTTGATGGTTTGGGACATGGATCTTGACGAGAAAGAAAAAGAAGGAAGAAATGGGACTAGAAATGGAGACAAAATGAGACCAGTCAACAGTGATTTCCGTTGAATCCGCACAGATGATGAAGTTAGCGAGGAGACGTGTATCCTCGCCCGCATCTGATCCCATTCCCCGAGGGAAAACAATCGTCGTCTCAAAAGCCACGCTTCCGCTCTCAAACCCATCTCTCTTTCTTTGTTGATTTCTTCGTCCTATTCACTCCATCCCATCCGTATCAAGCAAAACAAAGACGCCAAAATTAGAAAGAAATAGAGAAGGAAGCACACGACTACCGTGACATGATGGACGGTACGCCACTCGTCTTTTGTCTGCCTCGGAAACCCAGTCGAGACGAGACGTCTCAGAGACGAATGGATAGAAGCAGCAGCAGATGGCCGACATAAAATGAAGAGAAAGACAGCGTGTGCAGAAGCCGATCAGAGGAAAAGAAAACCCTGTCGCCACTCCTCTTACCGCTCCAACACCAAACCACCACCGCGATCGTAATCACCATCATCAGACGCAGAAAACAATCCGGGGAGATCGGGATGACAGAGAGAGCAGTGAGCACGCAACAGCGACGGCACCCCGACGATGCGATCGCCGCTGCGTGCTCACTCTCTTCTGTCAACCCCAATCACCCGGACGACGCCACAGACCCTCGGATCAACCACAACCACCAGAAAACAAAGCGATCAAGAAGACAAGGAGAAGAAGATCCTCAACCGAATCGGAGATATAGGAACCAGAGGAACGAGGAACGCCTGCCTCCTCCGCCTTCATCTTCGTCTCCCGATCCCTTCGATCCAATTCTAGGGTTATGCCCTCGCCCTCGCCCTCCCTCCTCTCTCTCTCTCTCTCTCTCTCTCTCTCCTCCCCTATCCCTTTAATCGCTGCGTCGCACGTGTCGCCCTCCGCCCCACTCGGCGCCTCTTCGAAAGCATGAATACATCATCGTATTACGCCGGACGCTGTCGCCCGCACGACGGATCACCCGACAGGAGATAGGGGTACCGTTGTGGGGTCCGGGACGCTGTCGACGGCTGATTGAGCCGAGCGTGCCATCACGCGTACGCCCGCGTAGTAACCCCGACACCAAGGACGTGATGAAAAGAGCGCGCGAAACGTGGAGAGACGCCGTACGTACGATCGAGGTCGAACCTTTGATTATTATTATTATTATTTGGGCCGGGCCGGTTCGATTTAATATACGAGCGAGATGCGCTGAGGTAGCGTCACGTTGATGGGAGGCCTCGATGAATCAGGTGGTGACACGTAGGCGGTTCACTTGGACCGACATGGCGATTGCTACTTAAAATAGAGGAAAGGGGTGTTTTGCTTTTCGAGATTAGATAGATGATTAGATGCTAATGAGAGGAATGACCACATTTATCATACCTTAGTAGAAATCTGCCTTTAGGGTTTTACTGACTGGCTGTCGTAGGATGAAGTCCAAACCCTAACAAGCAGCTTCGACCAGGAAGAAACCTCGTAGCTGCATCAAAACCTAACACTGGGAGATCTAAATCAGAACTGCTGCATCGGCTTTGAGCAAAGGCGGATCATTTTGAACTCGAAACAAAAACAATGAACGGGTGCGTGCATCCCCCCCCCCATCTTTCCATGCCATGGTCCCCCTCCCTCTACTGAGCTAGAGGAACATCTCGGAGTTAACCTAAAGACAAAGCAGAAGAGCTGGCACGCCCTCGAGCCATTGCTTGGATGCATCATCACCAGCGATGGGATTTCATGGCACTTTCGTGGGATTCTGAAACCATTAGCAGTTATCGGCATTGGATAGCAGAATAAACAATGGTGTGTCTGCAACTTTTTACAGGCAAAACAATGAAGAGGGATGCATCCAAGGTCTGAAACATATATATATATATATATATGTTTGGGAAAGTGCGAGGTGTGGCCGCTCAGGGGACCATATGATGCAGATCGAAACCAGTTTCAACTGAGAGATCACCGGAAGAGGGATCCCTCATGTTGGAGTAAGAGAAGGTCATCAATGGTTCCTCGACGTCAGGACATGGAAGCTGCATGCGCATGTAACTCCATGCAGCCTTAAGGGAGGAATCCTCCTTCATGTGTGGATGTGCACTGCATTTAGTGAATCAAGTTTATGGTTTTCTTTTTCTTTAGATCAACTCAAATTTATATTTTGTTTAAGAGGTAAAACAAAATGTTAAATAAATTTTAATTTTTGTCATATATATATAATAGACACACACTATATTCAATAAGAGGAGAAGTAATTAATATTCATAAATACACTGAGATAAAGCAGAAAAAACATGAGTTCAAATTCAAGCATAAAAGATGTCGATTCTTTTGGCTTCCTTTCCTTCCTTGTTTAAGTTTTCCAACTTTAGGTATCTATCTCAGATCATTTTCTTTAATCTTTGAGAAGGAAATTGGATCATACACATCAATGTTTGTGTGACAAGCAAGTAGAGTGCCAATTCCAAACGATTGATGAGAAACAAAGTATTCCTTTTTATGGACATCTCTTTGGTTCTTTAGAAGCTTGCCTTGACGCAAGGGATGCATGCAGCCTTGGAAGATGAATGAATGAGTGAATCATGATAGATTGGAGTTTCTCATGCTTTTGTTGTTTGATGTATCGAGTAAATGAGTTTGAATACTCTTCACCCACCTGAATCCGAGGACAGCCAGTTTCATCTTTCTCATTTGCTGCCATTGGACCACTTAGACCACTCTCTCTCTCTCTCTCTCTCTCTCTCTCTCTCTCTCAATATATATTTACATATATATAGATATGCATCAACTTTTTAGATTAAGATCTCTTTAAGCATCAACCCTCTCTCTCTCTCCCTCTCCATCTCATTATATATATATATAGATATACATCAACTTTTTAGATTAAGATATCTTTAAGCATCAATCTCTCTCTCTCTCTCTCTCTCTCTCTCTCTCTCTATTCATGTCCCTTGTGCAATAATAAGAGCATGCAAATCGAAGAAGAAAGGAGGTTGCAATGCCCGAAGAAGACAGAAGCGTGCGCCATATGTGGGAAAGAAGCAACCATTTCCTTTGTCTCTCTTTAAGGGTGTGAAGAGCATAAAGATTTCAGTTAATTCCATTTCTATGTGCTGTACTAATCCAATCTGATACATTTACTAGCACAATAACTCGAGTACTCAAAACTACTAGTAGTAAGAGTCCTACATCTCAAATGGTTAGTAGCAAACTAAATATGTGGTGTGTGTGAGTGTGTGTTTGTGCATCCAAATTATGTTCATGTTGATATTTTAAAGTTGATGATAATAAGTCGATCGAAGCCCAATTATTTAGGATTAGCATATATGAGACTAGAGAAAATTTTCTCGGATGCTTTTGGATTTCTCTTTAAATATTTATATAGAGAAAAGGTGTAAGAAATTCTTCGTATATAAGCAAGTTTATGTTTATGTTAAGCTGAGGTCAACTTATTGTGATGGTTGGTAGGTATTTTTAGGAGTCCTAAATGTATTCAAATTAGTTGGCAAGAGTCCTAATTAAATTTAAAATATTTAGTGAATTAGGATTTATTCTTATAATTACATCTTGGTTACTCATGATGGTGATCTCTATGGTTTCTAAGTAGAGTTGAGAGAGAAGGTTTTCAAGTTTTATGTGAGAGGTGTACAAAGAGAGTTGTATTTATGTGGGATAACTGAAGGACCTTATAACTGATCACATACATTGAAAAATACGATCCTCTCCATGGTCCATATAGATAGAGATTTGCTGAACTACGTTAATCTTGTATCGACTTTCTCTGTTGTTATTGGAACTCTCCTCTCTCTCCCGGACAAATATGCTTACAATTAATCTTACATGATGAAAAAATAATTTTTCTCATTGTATATAGACAAGAAGTGTCGAACTATTGATATCTAAGATTTCTTTTAGTTTTCGAGATATTGTCTCCTCTACCTTTTTTTTTCTTTTTAGACTTTCACATTTCTTTAGAACTCTAATGTACTTTGGTTCCGATATAATATTTGATATTTTAAGATCAATCGATCCAAAGGCCCAAGATTAAGTTATCGATCAAACTATAAATATATCCGGTTCTTTCAATCTTTAGTGATATAGAACTATTCTTTGATCCTCTCTCAATCTATCTCCACACATGAATAGTCTTTTTAGTATGTTACAAGCTTAAGTTCAATTTGCCTCGTTTTGAAGCGTAATAAAGAAAGCAACATTTGACTCATTGTAGGAGGAGATTAATTTACCCTACGATGGTAAAAGAAAACCAAAATCGATAATGAATTTATTGGGTGGAGTTGTATTGTCGCTTTGGAATGGTCTTTTCCATCTCCTACACTTGTCATATCGATCCACCGTGATTGATCCATAGAGTAGAACAACCATAAACCAACTCTTGTGGGAAGTGAGATAGATGATCCACATCATTCGATTAGTAGATGAGCTTCATTATTTGCGTCGTATATAATTCCTTGGGATGGGCAAAGCTTTTCAAGATGGGGAACAATTAATTGGTATGATTGTCTTCATTCATGGTGAAATCAATCTAGAGGAGTCCGGAAGTTAATACTTTGATGAGGACAAAAAGATTGTTAGTAGAAAACATAATTTTGTTGTCTTCCACAAATTAGCAAGTATTATTTTTTCTTACTTCAACAGTGGTGATACGATCCATCCGTCCTTCCTTCCTCGAAAGAAAAAATAATATTGAGAGATTTTTTTTTTAAAATAATATTATCGTTGTCGTATAAACAGATGGATGGAGATTTAGTGGGATAGGAAACTTTATCCTTGTAATAATTTTAGTACATAAGGTATCGATTTTTCATTGAAGGATAGTTGATATCCTCTCCATTTTGTGTGAATCAAATCATGTCTAGGATTATCCTTTAGCATGACATATGTAAATCATCAAGATAGATGGGGACATACGATTGGGATGTAAAAAGTAATAGAGGAATCGAAAAAATATAGAAAGTAGAATAAATCGGTCCTCTATCATCATTACAATGAGATTGATTTACCGAATGTCTATAAACTAAAAGTGATCATAGTTAAGTTTGACATTTCGTGTTTATAACGATAGATGCTAGAACTCGACTTATGTTTGTCGATTGTTCGACAAGCCTAATCCTTCTTCTCTTTGATCCTCTTTCTCTTTGTTTGGATAACACATTAATTATGACACCTCAAATTTACATAATCTATCTATTTCCTAAAAGAAAGAGGCTTTATTTAATTGATCAGTTGATAGATCATTTTGCTATGTTTGCAGCAATCCTCTACAATGATTTACTTACTTCAATCTCCTCTAATAGGATTCATTCATTGTGTATGTAATACAATCCATCCATAACAAAGGCAATAGCAACACTGCACTTGATTCTAATATATGCTAACACTGTGCTCTGATTTGAAATTTCATCTACTTGCAGGCTTTCTACCTGTTGTGATTAGACATCCACCTGAAAAGATGCAGTATTTAATGCCAATGATTCTCCACTATAATTCATTTAGCTAATTTGTATTCAACCAGAGATGCTCAAGTGGGGCAAGTTTAATTAATATTCCCTGGTTGATTAAATGATAAGCTTTGAATCTATCAACATCAACAGCAGTTTCTTCCAAAAGTGAGTACATCAGCATATAATAATAATTAGGAAGAGGTGACAGAAACACCATTGTCTTTATTGTTTGTACGATGTACAATGATGTATGTATGTGTGACTAATTGCATCGATAAGGTCAACTATGTTGGGAGCACAAGATACATCTCTTAGTACAGAAGAAGAAGATAATAGAAATTAAATTATTGTGTAAAAATTTTATATCACGATTGAAATGAAGTGTCGCAAATCAAAAATAAAATATGTATATCATTTGAATATAATAATTAATAGGATATTTCAGATTTCATAAAAGTCGCAATCAAAAGTTTTCATAGACGTTTACGTGACACAATTGCCTAACAAAACAACGAACTAACCTTAGACCCTCCTTTATCGTATAATTGTTCAAAGCTTACGAAGTTTATATTTATAATTTATGGTTCTACGAGTTAAGCTTTCGTTTCAATCCAGAATTGATCAACACGCTGTGAGACGTACCAAAGCCATATATGCACACAAATAATTCCATGTCCTCGGTCTCGTAGAACCACAAAGATAGAATTGTCTATGAGATGGCTTCTCACGCTACAGACAGACAATAAATAATAAACCAGTAGACATTCTCTGCACTGTAAACTGCAGAGAGATGCACGAAAGCAGAGAGGATGCGAGGGAGAAACGTACCTCTCTTTACACACCTCCTTCACAATAATTCCAATACAATCCAAGCAAAAGCCTTCCTTTTCTGAAGCCAACCTCAACCTCGATGGATGGGGCCCCCTCCACACCTACTCAACTCCTACCCCAGCCCTGGGCCCCATGCCGTCACCACACGTCATTGGCGGCCCCCATCTCGGTAGATATTTTCCTGATCCGACTATTTATTTCCGGTGTGCTCTGCTCTTCCGGTCTCTGTTCTCTGTTCTCTGTTCTCTGATGCCGATGCGACGTGATGCGATGCCGTCCGCAGGAGAGGAGCAGCCAATGAGCCGTCTCCGCTTGTACCCGAAAACCAGGTGCTTCCATCCCATCGCCCTTTCCATCGTACGCGTTCCCGCTTTCTCCGGTCCTTTTTCTCTGTCCTCATCCTGTCGCCTAATTCAGCCCATAGCTCGCAGATCCGACCTCACCCCACTGTTCCATTCATGTATGACGAACGCAGAAAGGGATGGTGAATTCTGAAGCGGGTAGAAAGATTCCATCTATCTTCAGCGAATCGGGGTTCTGATAGGACGGACAGAGAAAGAACAGCAGCAGCAACAGAAGACCGACATATCCCACCATTTCGTGATATGGCGATACCAGATTCTTGTTTCGACTGCTCACCAGAGGAGACCGATGGTAAAGGTCGCGCCTTTTATCAGATGGTTGTGTCAAGTCATCGCCTTTAACCGAGATCGGAGGAGCGCGGCTTCTGTTCGATGGCCGGTGCAGGATCGTTGTTTTGAGTCGAGAACAGAGGACCAGCAGGACGAAGCGAAGCGAGAGAGAAGGGGATGGGGAAGGAGGCGGAAGAAGGGAGCAGAGAGGCGCGGAAACTGGTGTTCGGAAAGTACGAGATGGGGCGCGTCCTGGGGAAAGGAACGTTCGGCAAGGTGTATTACGGCCGCGAGCTCAGGTCCGGAGAAAGCGTCGCCATCAAGGTGATCGACAAAGAGCAGATCCGCCGGCAGGCCGGCATGATGGAGCAGATCCAGCGGGAGATCGCCGTGATGCGCCTCGTCCGCCATCGCAACGTGGTGGAGCTCCGCGAGGTGATGGCCACTAGGTCCCGCATATTCTTCGTCATGGAGTACGTCCGCGGGGGTGAGCTCTTCGCCCGCGTCGTCCGTGGCCGCCTGCCCGAGGACCAGGCCCGCCGCTACTTCCACCAGCTCATCTCCGCCGTCGACTTCTGCCACAGCCGCGGCGTCTCCCACCGGGACCTCAAGCCCGAGAACCTCCTCCTCGATGAGCACGGCGACCTCAAGGTCTC